ACGGGCTCCCCCTGTGGGGGAAGGGCCGCCCGAGCCCCTGCAGGCGGGTGGTTTTGGGGCTTTTTTCCTGGTGCGACTTAACATGTTATTTTCTTGTATTAAGTGCTATGTATTTATCACCTAAGCTATTAGAACAAGAGGAAATAGTACAGAGGTGTTGGACTGACAGCAGCCTCAGGTCTGGCTCGATGTGGAGACTGGGGTGATGTAACCAAATTAACACAAAAGATTGGGATTCTTCTTAAATCCCAATTGAGGAACTGTTCTCAAGCCTGTCAAGTTAAACAACTTAACGGTGACAATTATTCCGCTTCAGAAGCCCAGACCGCAGTTTCAGAGGGCAGTCGCGAGGCTGCTTTTTCCAGCTGGCCGACATGTGTATTTAAAGCTTTATAATTGCATTACTATCGCTTCCTAAGCGGCCAGGCTTATAGCCAAGGAGAACATCCGTGGTTTGACTTCACTGGGCAACCGAGAGAGCCCGCAGAGGAAATTAAACTGTTAAAAGTTTTCCTTCCCAGCTGCTGGGCTGCGGTCCCTGTGTGCCCCGTCTTGCTGTGCCGGCTGCCGTCCTCCTCCGCACGCAGGAATTACACAAAACCTTAAGTCGCTCAGACCCTCCTTGATGTGGAATCCACCTCGATGCATGTATTTGTGCTATTTAGGAGCATTTAAGCCTGGGCAACTAATTTCCCGATGCTTGTAGGAACAGGATGGTGATGCTTTGATGACCGCTGCGTCCCTCCAGCACATCTTCGCCTGCAAAGAGAAATGCTTCCCAGCAGGAGAGCCGTGATCGGTGCTTGCGTGGCATCCTCTTTTCGGGGTGACGTGTTGTAAAGACCTCAGAGTGTCAGCCAGATAAACCCTCGAGGTAAGGCCCGGTCATCTGATTTGGGTTTTTCCTTGCTTTCCGTCGGGGTGTACCTGTCCCAGAGAGTGGGATGTGTCAGGTGTGAGGTTGTATTTCTGCCTGCGCTGGTTGAGTTTTCGTTGCGCAGATGTAACGCAGACGTGGCAGGGAGTCTGCCTGGCCTTGTTGGGGGAACAGCCTCGAGTCACCAGTTCATGGACAGTTAGAAGACAAATCTTAACGCAGCGTCAATGGACAGACAGTGCCTGCTGCGCCTTCCCACCACCACCACAGAGGGTCTTCCCCCAGGGCTGGAGCGTCCGAGGGTGTCATCCCACCACCTCCTTTCCGACACCGCCCGTCCTTCCCACCCAGTGATGGGTCCCAGCTCCACACCCAGCCCTGATATCCCGTCGACTCCAGGCTCAGTCCCTCCCCAGTGTGCCCCAGCCCCTTTCAGAGCAACCCCCACTCCCCACCAGTCCCCTGTGCTGGGATCCCCAGAGCTGCCCCAAACCCAGGTCCCTTCTAGCCCTGGCCTGGTATCCCCCCTGCGCTGCACTCAGTCCCTCCCAGTCCCTGCCCTGGTGTGTGCCCACTCCCCATGGCCATGTCCTGCTGGCCCTGCAGGGGATGGCACCACTGGAAGAGCTGGACCCCCACCCCCAGGACACCCAGGGCTTGGGGCCATCCCACGGGCTGTGTGGGGCTGGGTGTCCCCAGGCTTGGGCTGATCCCCAGGGGCTATATGGGACCTCAGGTTTGGTGCTGCCCCATCGACTGTATGGGGTACTGGGCTCAGGGACACCCCGTAGGCTATGTGGGGGTGCAGGGCCCCGTAAGTTGTGTCCTGAGATGGCGGTGTTCCCACAGGCTCTATGGGGAGTCTCCCCAGGCTGTGTGGGGCTGCACAGCCCTGGGCTCAGAGCAGTCCTGTAGGCTGTGTAGGGCTGCGAGGCTCCACAGGCTGCCTGGGGCCATGGGACACTGGCTTTGGGGTGACCCTATGGGCTTTATGGGGCCCTGGACTCGGGGTGGCCCTGCAGACGGTGTGGGGGCGCAGGACTTGGGAGCCCCTGACTCGGGGCAGCCCCTCGGTGCGGCCCGCTGGGACGGGGCGTGCTCCTGCCACGGGATGCACGGACTCTTCTGGCATCCTTTTGTTTTGTTTGGTTTTTTTTTTTTTTACCCAAAAGGATCATCTGGGTGCTTCCCCGAGCAGCGGGAGAGTCGCCTTGTTTTTCCTGTTCTCCCGGGACGTGCGGGCAGGGCAGTGCCGGAGCCGGGGCGCAGGGCAGAGCACCCCGCAAAGCCCCAACCCCTGTGCTGGGCCCTGCACGGTGCTGCCCAGTGCTCGCCAGTTCGCAGCGTTCGCTTATCAGGGGGCTGCAGCGGGCTGTGCCACGGCCTGGGAGCGCGACTGGGTTTGTCTACGTGACGCTGATGAGCGTTTTTGGGAACGGGGCAAGTGAGATTGTCTTTTTGGAGGCTGTTGATTGTGGGTTGAGCGGGGACAAGGGGCCGAGTCACCTATTGCAGCCGTTTGGCAGGGTGTGAGCAGAGCAGTTTGGCTGGAAGAGTTGAACTGGATTAGAGAGTATTGTTTGGTTCTTTGCTAATCCCTAATCTCTTAATTCTGGGTGGTAACGCTTGAATCAGAAGCGGGTGTGGACCCACCTCGTAGGCGGGCGCTGAGTGGGAGAGAGCGAGTTGGGGAGACGTCTCTGGGTTTGGTACAAACACAAGGTGGCAGCTGGGCTCATCGTTTCTGAATCTGTCAGCAGCTCCTCAGACTCTGCCCTGAGCTACCCCAGACTGAGAGGCAGGATCTGCCCTCCTCCCTCTCCTCTGAACTCAGCGGAAGCACTTCAAGGGGGAACGAACATGTGCTAATTTCTACATCAGCCCCACCTTAGAAAAAGAGTAGTTTTATGCAGTTATCACCACCCGGCTCTGCTATGGAGGGAGGAGCACTTTTCTCCTGACAGCTAGAGGCACCGTGACATCTCCTGGGGTTAGGAAAGATGGATGAAAACTATGGCAAACCAATGAATTGAGATATTGCTCTCCTGTTCCGGTGTTGGTTGGGCTGCACTTTGCTTTCCCTTCTTTCACCTTGCAGCCTTAACAGGCTTGTTAGTGAGGAAACATGCCGTGTCTTTCCGATGTCTCCTACTGAAATCCAGAAAGGCTTTTTGCTGCCCGAGTGAGGGTTGTATCAGGTCTCTGGTGAGATGAGGGCTCCTGCAGAGCTGTTCTCCCCGCAGCCTGTTGTGTACAAACGGAGGCAGAGCTCTCTGGATCATCTTCTCGCTGTTGACTTACGGAGGAGGGTTTGCTGCTGGCCACATCTGCGGGGTTGTAAAGTGTTTTTGCAGTTAATGGAGCTCTGGCAGCTCTGTCTGTTTTGATTCCTTCCTTCTGGTGAGCGCTATTGGGATGTAATTTAATTTAGGGATTTGATTTAAGGACTGGTGATACAGCTGTGGAATGGTGGGACCTGGCTGAGGAGGCGGAGAAGAGTGGTTTGGTCCTGCTGCTGCTTTTCTCTCTCACAAAAACTTATCAAAAAGCAGAAGAG